ATTTGTTTACACCCCTAGCCAAGATCAACACTGATATTTCAGTAACGCGGATATAATTATCATGATTATGGAAACAATAACTCTCGTCTAAAATAGTAAATTGCGGAATGAACTACTTTCTTTCATCGTCCTTGAAAGGATGGAGTTTTTAAGCCATCGTTGGGAAAGGGAGTATGGAAATGTAAACAAATTGCAACGGACGAGTACTGGATGAAAATTGACTACGATACAAACATATTATTCAATCACTGTTACCTCAACATAGCTGGTGTGTGGTGATACAAACATCAGGACTTCAAATCGAACCTAAAATTACTTTTTGGTCCGATAATGACATTTAAATTTATGTGTGTCTCAAAGCTTCAAGCAACTTATTCAAAGCTTCAAGTAACTTATTACAGTAACCATTAAGACTGTATCTTACAAAAGATAGATGGTATCTGGTACCCTTTTTCAAAGGCTGCGGTTGTTTACTTGTCTCTCGGGATAGGGATTGTGCTACTCTCGAATTACTTGAAACTATGGCAAAAACATGTAACAGCCATTACAGACTGTCCTCCTTATTAATCAACTATTTTTACCGAATTCTGGTGTGTGCCCACAAGTGTTTTAAGGTTCTTATTTCGAATCTCGTTTGACAGTTGATCGTCTATCACTCGCGGATTCTTTTGAAAGTAGATCGCGTCTCTTTCATTTGATACTCATCCGCGTCAAACAGCCAGGCCTTTCTTGTGGTGATGCTCTTAAGATCTTCTTGTCGTTAGACAAAGACTGGGATTGCTGCTTTAAGCACTTAAAAACTATAATTCTTTGTAGCTCAAGTATATACCTATGTTCAACCACTGTCCCTTGCCCATTCCAGAAACATTTCAAGTGTCTATAGAAGATCAATGGTTCACTGCTTACTTTTCATCACTTGTCACTGATATTTGATTTCTCTAAATTTAAACGAGTGTGCGATGCACTGGTCTGGTCCAATGTTGATTTAGTCCGTGTCGATTCTCCTTGATCCAGTTAGGTGTTTTCTTAAATAAGTTAGCATAAGAATAAAAGTAGTATAGAAATTGCATATTGATAAAAAAAAAGTATATATCTATATACAAATGGACTAATTAACCCCACAAAATTGGTCGTGAGATTTGCTTTCGCCTAACTGGACCACAATAATTGCAATACATAATTGAGTAAATCTTATATACACTATTACTATTGAATCCATGATATATATGTACAAAAATTGAATTTTAAATTCAAATTCTGCATAATTGTCATTCATGCAACGTTGACAGTGATATACATTGTCAGCATAGAAAAGATTAGTCATATGTAACTTATGAACTTTATGCCATCCTTATATATCTTTACCCCATGCAATTGTAATCGTATTCTCTTGCAATATATCAGTTGTGTATTGATTTCAATTAAAAAAAAATGAAAAGAAAGTTTTTTGATTGGTTTGAGTGACCATAATAGAAAAATTACAAAAATATTTTATTGTTTGGGTATGAACTGATATGTATTTTTTTTTTTGCTTGCATTATAAACTCATTTTTTTAATATATTTTTATCCACTTTTTTTTATTTCTTGCACATCACGTTGCAAAATAGATCACAGTGTTATTATCTCCTACACTCTTTTTTTTTCCAGCGATTGCCAGACTCATGAATCACATAGCAATAATATGCAATCACGATAGGGATTTGTAAATGCTGGATTGGCTGCGGAGATGGTCAAATATTCCCAGACAAACCAACATGGAGAAATCCCTACAGTGGTAGCATGAAAGGCTGTATAGATCGTTAGGAATGACAAACTAAGCCTTAGATGAAAAAAAAAAAAAAAAAAAAAAAAACTAAGCTGAGATGTTACTATTTACAGGGCTGTGTTGATATCTGTACATGTATCCATCGGCTCGGAGTTGTTGCAATCAAATCAAATATGCTCGAGAAAAACTTCCAAAATAGAAATGAGCATAAATCTTGGTGCATGCAAGCCACTTGGGAGTCAGAGAGGGGAAAGGATAATGAAGAATATGAAATTAGCCATAAAATGTTGGTCGAAAGTTTTCTCTGTAACTCCGCGATGTGTTGGTTTTCTCTGTAACATAAAATGTTGGTTTTCCCTGTAACTCCGTGATGTGTAGCCATATGATTTGATCCAAAATACCCTCTATCCATGTTTATCCACGCTTGTCTTCTTATGGTTCCGACAAAACCCATGCTCATTTTACGCTGTCTAATCCAATTTGAACTAGCCATGTTCAATGAACTTGAATATTAATACAGATAGAACTAGGTATATTCTGCAGGATAGTACCTGAGGACAATGACAACAAATTTTTTACTGATTTTAATTTTTTTTCCCAATCAATTTAATGAGTCAAATGAATGTGTTTCCTTCAGCCATCTAATTGCTAAGGAAAATGCAGACAAGCCAGTTATTGTAGTTCCTCAGTGACAACAGCAGCATTGTTTGGGGCTGTATACCTTCCATGTGAGTGGAGGAAAAAAGCAGTCTGATATATGACTCAGTCCATCTATGAACCATCTCACAAATCGGTGAGATTCATACACCTTACAAGCAGAAGTAGTTGTGGATGTGAAACAAGGGCCTTTAATTTCTCGCCACCAATAAATTTTATTGGAAAATGACGAGATCACAAGCACAAGAATTGACCCGTAAATGGCCGCAAAGAAAAGAGAAAAGTCTATTACAAATTTACATTAATACAGTACTATAAACAACCCCCAATTGGAACCCAAAACTTGTTTGTGGAGCCTCAGTTGTTATTTATTTTCATTTTGGCAGTTGGCACCGAGCAGTAGCTTTCCACTAAACTAGTGAATGAAAGTCGTCACAGAGAGGCGCAATTATACTACAACAATATAAGGAGGTACAGAATGAAACTGCTGCGCAATTTATCAGTAAAATACTCATGGACATGATGAGAGCAGCCCCTATTTTCAGTCATTTGCAATCTCTCTCTAATCAGTCGGACACCCCTCAAAGAGTGAGCCTCAACTGTAGCAATTCTCATTATTACACCACAGTTTCATTGGCTCTCACCCCAGTTTCCACTAGGATGTAATTAGGGCCTATGAGTGTTTTTTTTTAAAAAAAAATTTTAATCCACCTGGTTTGTTAATTGTTATCCATGACCTAAAAGCTAATCATAAACATAGCTGTTCTGTCACTGAGTAGAACATATCCATGACCTAGCTCCAAATTTTCTTTTTTTAACAGAAGACAGAAATGACCAATTGATTGAATAGAATTTCTCCGTGGATCTCCTTAGATTACTCTTATTGAGCCGGTTTCTCGATGCTTTCTGCTTCGTTGAGTGTAAGTGTGTGTGTGTGTGGGTTTCTACCAGTAGGAAGAAAAACAGAAGACAGAAATGTATTCTGCTAGCTTATGTATATTTGTTTCTAGCATGTAAGGTTCCAGTCTCGAGTGCCATAATTCATAAAAAAAAAAAAAAAACTGGAATTTGGATGCCGACACGTAATTTTTCTAATATATAATTCATAGTTTGTAATCAAAATTATTCATTCCATTTGTAGGGATGCCAATAAAACGTGGTTTAAATGAGGGTACGCCTAGCAAAAGAGATGTCAAATCTAATATCGAAAAAGGCTTTATATTTGCAAACTGCTAACTAATCTCTTGTTGTTTTCTTGCGTTGATTTGTCATTTTACAGAATTGATTCGTGATGTCAACCGTTTCCTTATCTTTAATATCATTATGAAAGACGGGTAATTTTCATCAGTAACTTCAATTACATCCCCCCAAATATTTTTCAAAAGTTTAATGAATTGCTTTCTTTTGTGGAGTCATTCTCCCATGATTGTAGACACTTAAGCCTCAGCCTTTTTTTTTTTTTTTTGGTCTAATTTAAACCTCTGCCTAACTATTCACTGAAAAAGAAAATAGTAGAAAAGTCGTGAGATTAGTAGGGAAGCCAATATGGCATGCTTGGTTTATGGAAAAAAATGTGTTTGGATAGAGTATTATTTGAAATATTATTTAGAATAGTTACTGTAATATTTTTTATAATGTAATGTATGTGAGATAAAAAGTAATTGGGAATATGAACAGATGGATTCGAAAATGTGTTTATGATGCAAGCGAAATATTATTCGAGATAAATTTGCAATCCAAACACACTCGTACTAGTGATGTTTACTAGAGTCAACTCCTAGCTATCAGCAGACAAGTCAAATTCATTTTAAAGAACCAGCTTATCTCTGCAAATTGATAATTAATGTCATTTTCCTCACGCTATTTTCTTGTGTGGATTTGATTAAATTGTATGCTTACGTTAATATCGTCAATCAAGACGAGCTGTTTTCATTAGTTGCATCAATTTTAGCCCTTAATATTCTAAAGCGTTATATGCAACTTTACTGTTTTTGCCGTTTAATGAGTTGTTTTGTTTTGTCACTCCTATCACTTATCACCGTTGGCATTTGAACCTCAATTTAACTATTCCTGAAAAAAAAAAAAAAGCAAAAAGAAAAAAAAAAAAAGACAATCTTCTGCGTTTTAGTTTAGCCAGTGAGGTCTAGGAGCGAATATGGCATAGGAATCTCTTGCAATACGTGAAAGAGACGAAAAGACTAATGCACCAAGTAAAAATTGCTAGTTGTGCCAGTACTTATTTTTCATTAAACTGGAAGTTGGAATTCTTGGGTTTTCGGTACATGCCGAATTCAGTGGGGGCTTGGAGATTTACCAAAGCAATCAATGTGAAAAGAAAGCTGGACATTTATGTAATTTGAGCTATGAGCTGTCGCCTTCTCCTGACCCCAGGTTCAAAACACAGGACAAACCCTATTATACTTCTGAATTGTTGGGAGGAGGGAGGGCAAGGAAAAGAGTAGTCCAGATAGATATCGTCTATGAAAGCACTGACGCGAGAGAGAGAGGGAGAGACTGTTGTAAGACTTGAAAAGAGTAATGGTCAAAGAAAACCCCACCAAATGTTCTTTTCATTTCCTATAAAAGTAGACCATGGAGAGGGGAGCACGTAGAGAGGCACAGCACTTTATCCACATCTGTATAAATACGAGCCATCCCTTCAGTTAAGATCATCTTTCATGCCGTATCTGTATATGTATTTGCCATTGATTACTACAAAACACCTCAGCCCACTTGAAAATCTCCTGAGAAAATAAAGGAAAAGGGCAATGGTAGCAGTAGTAGCAAACACCCCACCTCTTTATTTCTGCTCTTTTTGCCAGATTTGCTGAGATCTTCTATCTTGCTCTATCACTCACTCCTTTTCTCTGACTCTCATGAGGAGAGCGACACATCCCGTCCTCTCTAACGGGGCTCGTCTTCCGTGATCTCTGCTCTTTCCAATTTTTACTTTCCCACCTTTCAAAATAGTACTAGTAAACTTCCCTTCGTTTTTGCTTTTCTTCTCTTTTTCCCTTCTTGTTCCCAGAGTTCTATAACTTGTTTCTCTTTCAAGATGCAACTTGCATGAATAGGGTTTGAAAATGGGGTTGATGCATTCAGCAGTGGGATCTAACTCGCCTTCAAGAAGGTATGTTTATTAATGTTTTGTGCCTCTTAGGTCATTGATCATGTGAAACCATATAAGTCAGCTCACTTTCTACTTTTTTCTTGATTTGGTTATAAGGGAATTTCTCCTTCCTAGTGTTCCAAAATCTGGGCAGATTTGCCGATTTGTTTCTAGATAATGTATTTCTCTACCTTCCTTTTTTCCTTTTTCACTCTTAGTCTCAGGTGCGAGGGGGCACATCTCCTGTTTACAGAAAATATGTCTTTCTCTGCATGATCTACGTGAGTTTGATGTCTAACTATATCGTTTTTTGGTCTTATGCCCATCTTTTCTGCATGTGGTCATTTTAGTTATCTCTTTATATTGTTTTTATTTTCTCTCGCTTGACCTCTTCCCTTGACATTCTGTGCTCACTCACTGGTTAGAGGATGTATACATGTATGGTCTTCCTGAGTCTAGGGTTGGGGTTTACTGCAGATGATGCATCCATCTTGGAGAATGCAATGTCTATACTCTTAGATCAGCAATAATTTTATTATAAATTAAAAAAGAAAAGTCTGATTTAGATTTACTAATTTGATTTTAAGTTGTTTGCCGTCTCTCCTACGAAGCAATCAACGTTAAAAGGTACTACTACTAGTAACTGCTTAATACCCTTCGTCTGGCACTAAATAGATCTAGACTGCCTGCCCTTGAATTTCTTATCTAATTCCTATTTCAGAAGAAGAGAATGCATTTTGATTATGCCATTTCTATATTTTTCAGTTTCTTCAGTAAAGTCTTCTCTTTCAGATAGCTTACTTGTTGTCTATGATCCTACCATGTCTAATGAGATCATTAATTTCCTAGGCCGTAAAGAATCTGTATCAGTGATATTAATGCTAAAATCCAATTATCAAGCATTTAACACGATCATAGTCCATTGGCTATCCAATGCCAATTTCTCCTGCCCCAGAGATAAGAATCATTACCGTATAAGAGGGAGAAGGGGGAATCAAAGAAACCAGATTGTGCTTTAGATTATAGTGGGCACTAAGAAACACATAGAGAGTCGTTCTTCCTTCAAGTTAAAGTTACAGAAAATACTTGTAAAAGTTATAAAGACTGTGACAACCGGGAGCTAGATTAGAGGACCACAAAATCTGCTGTTTGGCTAGAGCATAATTCTACCTTGATAGTTAAGCTATCGTTTCCTTGAGTTCATGCTAATAACATTATCTAGTGCATCAAAAGCAGCTATTGTGTGATAATCTATATTGATGACTTGTATGCTGGGATTTTTGCTATTGGAGTTATCCTTGTTCCCAACAGCCTTTGGCCATTGTGATTGCTGGCTGCATTGCCAAAAATTATACGAGGGAGCTTTCTTCAGTCCACTCATGGGTGGGCGGAGGGATTGAATTAGCTGCCGACTCATTCATTCAAACACAATAGAAAGGATCATGGGATTGTGCTACTGTGAATGTGTGAATGATGCGGGAGGTAAACCACATCCTTCTCTTCTCTGTGCTTGGACTGAAGGGAGCTCCCTTTCATGGATTTCTTCTATTGTGTTACCCATAGCTTTATTCGAAATTCTGTGTTGGAAGAGGATTCTCCTATTCTTCTATCAATCATCGCCGGAAGTACATTGCAAATGATTCGACCAAATTGCAGGTATGTTATCATTCACTATATAGCTACTTCAGATGATTTTTGGACTCACACTGGTGCTCTTAATTTGTATGGTTATAGTTAATTCCAGAGTGCACAATTCAACTATTTCCCACTTCCTTACAAACTAGATCTTTCTATGTCACAATGATTCTCTAGACTTTTTAGTAGGATTTTTTTGGCTTTCAACATATATATGCTCAGAAGATGCATCATCCACTATCCTCTTGTGACATTCACATTGTATTTTCAAGTCGGCGAGGATCAAAACCCAAAATGTGCTCTCACAATTTAAATTTCTAATTTGACTTGAAAGGGCTTACTAACTTAAGCTGCCATAGAATTTTGTCAGAGGGACAATTCAGGAGAGCTTTTGGTGCCACAATCCAATTTTCCCTTTCTTTTTACATGATTTCTGCTTGACTTTGACATTTACATACTCAGGCATCATCAAAAGGTAAGCAGTGTAAAATTGAGTGGACGTACACGCTTTCAGGTGTCTTGAGTTTTGGCTCTGAGAGGAGCTTCAATGACAAGAATTCTATCTGAAATTTGACATGCCTAATAGCATTAACAGTTTCTGTATGTCTGAATTTACAGTTAACAAACTAGTTCTGCTTGGGAACCTGGATTGTATTTTGCAAGCTAGGGTTAAGGCCTTCAAGATCCCTCAAATTTCAGTCAGTCTGTACTCTAAATACGATGGTAATAACAATAAAGTTCCTCAAAATGTAGTTAAACAATTTAGAGAAATTCCTTGTATGGTGCCTAATGTTGTGAGATTTCAGATATTGTAATGAAGCTGTTTTCTTTAAAGAAGCCAGTGTACATACCTGATTTCCGGTTACTTTCAGTGTTTTCTTCTTCTCAGGTATGTCCTGCTTGGTTGTTGTTGTTTGTTCAAAAATGGTTTTTGGTAGTAGTACTTTGTTTGGTCTCGTCCTGACAAGCTAGCCCTTTTAGTTTGATCTTGCGCTACATTTGTCCCATTTTTAATTTGAGCGATCAGAGCATTCATTCATTCCTCTCCAGTGAAAGATTTCAGCTAAAAACTGGTTGTAAGAGGTCGAAAAGATTTTGCTGTCTCTGGAGTACAAAGGCATATTAGCGTACTCGTGCGAGCAGTATAAACGCGGTGTTGGACCTGTTGGTTTTTTAGTTCCACTATTCAGTTTTCAGGCCGGTGGGTTGTTTGCAGGAATAAATACTTTCGTGCCCACTTGAAAAAAAGGACCCGGTTTTTGGTCTAATGGGTTTTGGCATTGGAACTTGTATCTAATCTTAAATTTTAATGTAGGAACCTATTAGAGTTTGTTGACATTCGTGAGATTTACTTTGTTGAATATCGCCACTTTCTGGGAAGTGATGAATCTCTCCTGGACTCCTTAATTTAGTCTCCACTGAATGTCTACACATGGGAAAATGTATCAAGTGTTTGTTCTGCAATAGTTTTTTTATGGGAAATAACACTCAAACGAAACGGCAACAGTAGGTAAGGTTAAGATGATGCATTCTGAGAAAGTGGAGGTCGGGTGGGGTAAACAGCACGATTCTCTGCCGCCTCTCCATCCAATTAACGGGGCGGTTTCTTATCAACCTACCTCGTTATGTGTTTCAACAGTACGGCCTTAACCCTAGCTAAGCTGCAGAGCAGGCCACCATGGACTCAGTCCCCCCCCCCCCCCGGCCTCCTTTTTCTCTCTCTCTCTCTCTCTCGTTTCTTTTTTTTTTTTTTGGGTTGGCTTATTGCACTTCTTTTCTTGACCTCCCAACCCATTAAATAAAGTGCCTAAAAATGGCTTTTACTACTGGTTGTGCTCTTGTATGAAGTTTTATATTCTACCAACTACTGTTGTCTCAAAAGATTCTGATGAAGCATCAAGTGGAGCTGAGTAGGACTAGTAGTATTAAAAAGGCTACTTCATTGTGCTGTCCCAGAATACAAAGTACAGGTTTTATTGCATTTTAATCACGTTTTCCTGCAAAACAAGCTCCTGATCAGATTTGATTACTTGTTTCTTTCAAGGATGAGATCTTCTTCTTTTGCTGGTGCTTGCACGAATACTCTTTTTACTTTGCTAAACTAATTTTGGACGCTGTGTTTAGAAGGCACATTTAAAAGCGACTAGCATTGTATGCCAGTGGGAGATGAACTCGGAAGTTTTCGGCATTTCTGCCATTGGTTCAACTCATTTTATTATGCCTAACAACCAGCCACTCGGCTCTGCCGCATTTGCTTTGATTGTTGTTTTTCAATGGATATCGTTTTCATCTACGTAAGGTTGAAATCTCCTTCTGTTTGTTTTGTCAATCGAATCAAAAATAGAAAAATATGAAGGAAAAATGTCATGGTGAGGAACTGTATAAGAAATGGATTATGTACGTGGCTTTGGGCATTCATAACCTTCTTGCACTTAAATATACTACGTGATTGACTTGATAAATTTTCGGCCTTCTACTTGATCGCTACATTAGTTTAAACCTTTTTCGCCACATTCAAGCAAATTCAAGCCGGCCGTAGGCACGCATATAGTTGAATTATGCATCAATTTTCTTTTTCTGATTAATTCATCGTAAACCTGACATGCTTCAGCAACTCAGCCATAATATACTTTCCTCACATAATATTGGTGCAGAAAGTTGAAGAGCAAATAACCCTATATCTGTTAGCAAAATATCATTAAAAATGTAATGTATACATATATGTATTAAGGCGCAGCAAGACAAAAAAAAAAAAAACACGAGATTGCATTTTCCTTGATACCCTTTTGTACATCAGTCTCGTCGATCACCATAAAATTCACAATGTGCTAATTTACATTCCGGTAACACTTGATTGTTCCACTCAGGAATGCAGGGTTGAGGACGAATTTGCCTCCGGTATGGTTTGCAAGGCCGGCTTCCACCGTGACATAGGGTACCTTGAATCATCCTTATCCTTGGTTGTGATGTCCTTATTCCCCGCCAGGCCGGTTTTTGTGCCATTTTCCTTGGGCAGATTCTTATCATTTCTTCCGCTGCAAACAATTGAAGATTTGGGGTTTCTTGATGCTGCTAATTTAAGGAGGCTGTCGTAGGTTTCATCATCCAAGGCTAGCCCACGCGGCAGTAAAAAGTAAAGCTGATTGCAGCTTAGCTGGAAGGATTCTGGGAGTACAGTTTTGTCTGAAAAGCATCTGATGACTTTGTGGTAGGGGTATGCTAACAGAATGTCTTTTACTCGGATGCCTTGTTTGAATTTGAGCAATTCACCGTCTTCTTTGATGACCGGAACTTGCTTGTTGACGGTTGAAGACGGATCACAAATGCAAGATAATGAACTCCCCATTTGGTTTAGCAGTTTAGCTATAGAGATTCTGCAGACTTTTTTTTTTTTGCATTTGGAGAGGGGGGATTTCATGTGGGCATATCAAGGTTTTGTCTTTCGATTTATCCTAAGAACCTGGAAAGGGTATAGATTCGGTGGAGAAACATAAAAAGAGTCTTGTATAGGTGTATATGCTTATTCTCGTACTTTAGGTTAGCGCCAAAATGTCTGTGTTGGAACTCTCTAACCCTCAAAACGACTTTTCGCAAGTAACCAAATGGGTGTGTATTGAACAAGAAGAAGGTTTTGTTTTTCGTTATGATTGGCATATTATTGCATGTGGCTTAACGCCCCAGGCTCTGCCATTTTTTCCTTTATTTCTCTTGGAGGTCCTGAGGTGGGCTGTCTTCAGAGCCTTCTGGGTTTTTCCTTGGCCATCAAAAATCTAATGACAAAATTTTTTATGCCCGGTTTTCTCTTGCGTCTAATATTCCGGTATCATTTAATCCCTTAATCAAATCAAATACTAAGGCGCAACAATTTTTGTACGATGGTTAATAGCTTAAGCATGTCAGGAGAAACGAGGTTCTACTAAGGCTCGGATGGATGGAATTAAAGATCTTGATTTCAAATTTCTCTTTGTTTCTCAAATCTTACCACTACACTAAAAAGTTAATAAATAAATAAATAATTTGAATAAGTTCTAGGTTGATTAATTTAACTAATAATTATAAGGATTATTTTTTCTTACACTGACAGTTTGTGTATACACTATCAACGTTGGATGAATGAAAACTATGCAAAATTTAATTTTGAAATTCAACTTTTACACACATGTCATGAATCAAACGGTGATAGTGCATACACTGTCAGTGTATATAAGATTTACTCTAATTATAAATATGATTTCAATTTTTGTGGTGTTCTTGTTTGCTTTCATATTCAGATTATATATTTTTTTAATACTCAAATGTTAAAATAAATAATCAATCAAAGATTAACTTTTAGTGATTCTAATTATTCTTTATAATTATATCGATTTTGTAAAATCTAAAGCAAATAAGAGCGATGTACATCCTCCCAATCAATTATAGTTAAAACGGGTTTGTGAGGAACATGCCCAAAGGAAAATGTTCCATTAATCGTCACTTAAATGATTTAGTATATCTATCTATCAGCTTATACTCAATTACTAACAAAATGGCATCTCACACCTTTCAGCGTTGTCACGTACCTAATGGTAGGGATTACCTCTTGCTAACCCCACGTCTAAACTAAGTGATGATCCATAGTCACTGAAGAACTCTACTCCTCTTCTCCAATTTCTCTCTACTGCTAATTTTCTTTGAATTCCTTTCTTTTCGGGAGGGAGCCTGGTTTCGATTTGTTATTTTCCTAATAAAGTTTCTGCTAAATTTTTTTAGAGTTCCTAGTGAGAATTTTTGTTCTCCTAATAGTTCCAAGTAGAATTCCTAATATGACTGCTAATTTGTTCTCCTAATATGACTGCAGGGAGGTGGTGGATATGATAAACAAGGAAAATGAGCAGCAAACAAGGGTAGATACCATCCTTGAGGACATTGCAAATATGAGATGTTTGTTTGCAAAATGTACTTTTTCTTTTGTCCATAGAGCTGGAAACAGTTGTGCACATAGTTTAGCGAACTTTGCAGTAAAGCTAACTAAAAATGTTGAATGAGAAGAAGAGTGCTTTCCCATGTGGCTCCATGAGAGTGCACAAAATGATTACAAAGGAAGAAATTCTGATGTATCCAATCTTGTACTATCAAGTTTATGAAATGAAATGAATTTATGATGTTTGACAAAAAAAAAAAAAAAAAAAAAGTTCCAAGTGAGATTTTGTGTTATTTTCTCTTGTTTTGTTGTTTGAATTTGAATTTACTTCAAATTTGGTTGTCAGATCTGAATTTATTTCAAATTTGGATCTATGTCGACAGATCTCATCATCTTTATTGGAACTTATAACTATTGATTAGTAAATCTGAAGATTGCAACATGCACAGAGTGAGCTGTAGCGATTTATTCTATGAGCAGATTATTTTAAAATTAATGGTACTTTTTAGATCTGTTATTAATATCTCAGGTCTTATGTATCTGTTAAATTGCAGATCTACAATTTTAGTGCATGTTTTATCTGCCATTAGGGCACCGATTTATATCAATTGTGCTGGACAATTCCAGCAATCTGTTAATGGAATGTGTTTTGTTATATATAAAAAAAAAAAAAACAACAAAATGGCATCTCAAAAACACACAATAAATCCTTTCATGCAAAGCTTAAGTGCCAAGGACATGGTCCAAATTTGGGTAGACCCAATCGTCAAAAACCCAATCATCCAAACACCCATGATTTGGGCCATAAAATTTTTGAAAATCAGGTCCAACCAATTGTGAGCCCAAACCCTGACTGAACGCATATCCATTGAATCTAACAAAGGAGCCAATTCCATCTGTGAAATCAAAAATTTTAGTTGCACGTGCTAAATGTGTGATGGATCCGTCGCGTCCGCAACTGATACTAGTTATCAGTAAGTGTGAGTACAAGCAGGACCACGAGCAGGTGAGAGTGTCTGTGTACAGACGACAAAGTCGGAGTCCAACTGAATATTTGAAACTTCCTGGATCCACAGAAGAGCGTTACATTTTAGTCAAGAATGCTTACAGTTACGTACAAAGCCGCTGACGGCCCAGATAACGACCCACGCCTCCTCTTTGAAAGCGCACGAAATCTCCAATGCACAGAGCAACTCTCAACTTACTCTCAAAATTGTGATTCCCAGTTACTCCAAAATTGTGCTCCAAATTCGCAAGTCTTTAGAGAATGGTGCAATTAGTAACCTATCATGTCAAACTTGCAAATATATTTGTACTCTACAACTGGTTGATCCCCTCTTTTCAATAGTAAAAAAAAAAAACAGAATTTGCATCCTAACAGAGTATCAACTACAGTGTTTAAGAAGAAGCACGTCCACATCAAGCAACAATCTCCTAGAGCTGACTATCTACAGAACCCAAAAGAATGCTTTATCTGTGGAGCTGTCAAACCCAGTGAATTAGAAAAGAGAGATAAATAAGAACAGCCCCACAATTGCCATAAACCATTGATGCCATAAGATTGAGTTTATAGCAACCAAGAAATTTTTAGAGCGCGTCTGGTCAAAATGTTACATTCTCGTAATACAAGAGAAAACCTAAACTTAACCAAAAAAACTAAAAGTTGGAATCTTCAGTGGCTTATAGCAGCCAATGCAGCTGACTACAGATATGTAAGAGCTTCCTACCTATGACATATGTGAATGATGAAGATGCATCCTGAAAGGGGAGAACCACAACTATCGAACATGTCTTCACTGTGCAAGAACAAAACAGAAAACAAATTTCATGCCTCCAATTTGATTGCTGCGTCAAGTGAATCGACAGTGCTATTCTGCTGTGTCCATAGTTGCGCATATCTCCCAGGCCTCGACAAGAGAACTTCATGTGGACCTTGCTCTACAACCTTCCCATTCTCCAAGACTATAATCTAACAAATACAGAACAATATCCAAAGTTAGGTGAGCATAAGAACAAAGAGCAGTGAAAGGCCAAAGGAAGAACCAAAAGCAACAGAATAAAGAAAACTGGTGTGCATGAATAAACTGTATCAAGAGATCAAACCAGACATTGCCTCGATTTCAGTAACTCTGGATAAGGGCAATTGTGGTAAGTTAAATTTGCTACAAACTTGTATCAATTAACACTGGACCAAGAACATGATCTTAAACTTCTAAAATATAGTTATCAAATTGCTGCCTGGCAATATAGGCAAATGACATTGGTATGAAGTCCTGGAAAAAAGTGTAACAATAAAGATGTTTGCTCTCCAAAAATTTTACCTCATCACACTGCATGGCCGTCGTCAGTCTATGAGCAATAAAAATCGAAGTCCGATTGTTCGCAAGAGACTTCAATGCACTCAAAATTTCTGCTTCTGTCGAGCTATCAAGGGCACTTGTAGCTTCATCGCAAAGCCTAGCAACATGAACAAAAAAATCATGATGTGTTAATAATACCAAAGACTGATGGTCTACAAAACACTTTTCCATGAATAGCAAGGATGTTATTTCATAAAAGGGTAATCCTGGTGTACGAGAGATACATATATTTGCATTAAAATTCAAAAAAAAAATAGTGAAATTCAATTTCTTATCATCAACTTGTTTAGTCATATTCTTCCTGAAGGAAAACTTTCAAAATCATTTGCTTCTCCACATTAAAGGTTCCAATAGGTGGTTCGCCAACTCTCTACTCTTTCAACCAAGGAAATTGAGCAAAACAGACATCATATATTTGCAGAACAGACTACAAGCAAGAGAACTTACAAAACAGCAGGTGCTTTTAGGAATGCACGAGCTAGGGCCACCCTCTGCTTTTCACCACCACTAAGCTGCACGAAAATGGAAGACAAACATCAGCTGACCCAAAGAATCACTAAGATAGAAATCTGCAAACTACATGATTACATCACCATAGAGATTGGTAATTGCCGCTTAGCTCGAAAGACAAATGTTTACCAGCTAGGCTACAGGTATTTGAAAAAGGGGAAAAAATCTAATGAATTGTGATGCTATTCTTCTCAATCCAAATATAGAATCATTTTTCCAAGATACAGCAACAGAAAGAGTACTGAACATATTGAGATATAAACATCAAGCATAAACAACACCTCAAAGGAACGAATTTTTTCCAAGATAAAACTCACTTTAAGTCCACGTTCCCCAACTACAGTTGAATACTTTTGCGGAAAGTTCATGATAGTATCGTGAATTGCTGCCTGTCGAGCAGCTTCATGAACCTGACAAATTCCATAAAAATTTAAAATAAGGAAAAGTCATCCAAGGTACCAATCGAGATTATGCATGACAATAGATTTATCAAAAACCTCCTCTTCTGTTGCTGAAAGACGACCATAATGGATGTTATGATATATTGTATCATTGAACAGTACCTGCATTACAACATGCATTGCTTCTGTCACGTATTCTAGAAACCAAATGCCTAAGAATTTAATCTCAAAGTTTCAGAGCAAATAAGAAAAGAGAATGATCTTCCTTTTATTTCAAACTTACAGTGTCTTGTGGAACAACACCAATAGATTTCCGAAGACTCTCTAATGTTACCTTCTGGATATCTTGTCCATCTATTCTTATCTGTCAAATAAAGAAAATACTCAATCAATAAAGTCAAAGTTACAAGGAAAACTTACACACATAACCACCTAATCAAGTACTCCCTCCGTCCCATTGATACTGTCATACATTCCTTTTTGGGCTGTCCC